GTGACTCTAGACCCACATACATTGGCAAGACTAAACAACATCTTGCTTTGAGTGCCCATGAACATTTAGGTGTCCTCACAAAACCAGGTCTTCACTGTCACATCCTCGCATATCCATCCTCACAAAGAGAAGACTTACCACCACATCACTTCGGACAATTTCAAAATTCTAAATTGAAACAAATTCGACACAGAATTATTAATAAAAAACATCATGCTAATCAATAAATATAGACATACTCTTAATTACAATACCAAGTCCTATCCATTAAAAATATTTTAATCATTCAATTCTCTTTAAGCACCCATAACTTTTGTTTTTCTTTTCTCTCTCCTTATTGTGTCCCCAGTAAGTTTATGGACTCACAATGCTAAAATCCAGAGTTCAATTCCTTGCAGATGACCGAGTGCAGATAGCTCATTTTGTAGCTTTGTACTAAAAGAAATAACAACTCTTCCTATTGTATATGAATATATATTAAATTTTATTATATTTTTAAGTTTAATTGTTACATTCAATTTACAGCTTGTTCTCGCAGAAAATTTCTTGATATCGATTATACATAAACTGTAAAAATACATTTATTTTCCCTATCGTCATGATCTTTTTGTTGAAATTACGATTCCCTACAAGTGAATCCATTTGAAGGTTAAAGTTATGTGATGACCAAAGCACTAAGTATTAGTTAAATTTTTCCATTACTTTCTGTTCAGGAAACAATTTATCTATAGTTACTAAAGCCTAACCATTTCATTAAAATATGTTAAATCTCATAACTTTTTCACTGCCACGTTTATAGATAAACAACTCGTCCAGTGCCAGGTTTATTTTTAGACACAGAATAAAAAGAAAAACACTTTAATAGTTCATTACTTATCAGAAACTGAAACAGGTAAACCTTGGTAAGTTTGAAAAGAAATGCCCTTTCTTCCTGTTGTTGTGGTATACAAACCACGTATTTATATTTTCTCATAGTATTAATTCTGAATTTATCATGTATTCTGTATATGCACAGTTTCACATAACACGTGGTGAAAAAAGCATAGTTAATCTTCCAGCTGCATTTGTTATGCTCGAGGAGATCCCGGTTTTTACCAATGGTCAGTATTGCTGCAATACTGCACATTGTGCAAGGATGTCAACATTATTGTCCTTCAGTGGGCGTTCAATTGATATCTTGAGGTTACTGCCTCACCTATGTTTGAATGATAATTACCACTAATGTGTGTAGCGCTAGTAACACTTGGTAAATAATACATTTCTTGCAAAGTAAGATACATTGGATTCAGTCACTCTGGTATGCACGATAGTTAAAGAATATCAACTACAAGCCACCACCCCGCATCAGTAAAACAAGTACACACTTTCTGAATCAATGAACTGTTCATTTTGTACATTATCCTGTGTCCATTTTTTTTTCAGGCTGTTATTCAGATACTTTATTTATTCTATAATAAATATCCTGACCAAATCTCCTGTTATTAAACAGACCTGTCCCATTACTCTTAACTAAATTCAATTTTACTTGGATATACCACAGTGGTACACAAATTCAAATCCCTTTTGAAAGTTCAAACGAAAGTTACATAGTGTGTCCCTTACATGTGCTCATGCCACTGATGTATAGAGGAACATGTACGATACCAATGAATAAACTCTGAGATACAGGTCAAAATACTGTCAAATAACAATTTTTTTAAATATAAACTTAAACTATCAAGACATTAATTTCACTGTTTTTTCTGTTATTACTTATTTGACTAGCAAACTTATTCAAAAATTACCAATGGAGACCTATAGCTGACATACAATATACACTTTATAAAATACTGAAACGGTCGAGAAAAATGGATTGCTTCGTAGCATGTATCCAGAAATTCATCTCAGCAAAAATAAGCTAATTACGTAAATAATATTCATCTGTTTATCTTCTATCCTGAAGAGTACTTATCACAAGTAATGACTACTCATCATCGTATCACATTTAACAGTACTAAGGTACTGTTATCCCAAATTAGCTTTAACTTACTAATTCAAAAACAATTCTTATTAGAACTCGGTTTGTAAATGATGTACACTTTAAAATTTAATCAGCTTAAAAATGTGTAAAAAAGTGTTGTAAATAAACACCAATCATTTTTATCAGTTTAAATAATTTTATTTTACTTCTACAGTGGAAGAAACAAGAAATCATATATCGCCTATCATATAACTATGAACAAATCATCAAACTCTGCTACGTAAGGTCAAGACATCTTCAAATTCAACTTACATACTGCTGTGTTAAGTCATTTAAGCTGCGTTTTCTTGAACTTAATGTTTTACACAGAAACTCAAATACTGTTTTACTTATTTTATTTATATAATATTAGTGAAGTACTGCATTGAATTTGTACTTTTTAAACAGAAATTGAGATTTGAACAAAGAGTATTATGGCTTTTGTACTGTGCATTACATATTTTGTTGCTTTTCCTAATCTATGTAATTTGTGCAATGCTGTCCCTCTCAGCATTTAAAAAAAAATTCTATTGGATAATAACCAGTGAATTAATTTGCCCAAGCTTCAATTGAATAACATGAAATACTACAAGTAAAAATTTAACTTATTCCTCTTCTGAAACAGAATACTTCAAAAACACAAACAGAATACTTCAAAACCACATATTTCTTCCATTAAAAAAATAGTAAGTTCAAAAAACTCTCACCAAATGCTATACTTTAACAAAATAAAAAGTAAATACATCATTTTATATCTTTCCAGAAGATTCCACTTACATCTCAATGAACTAAATTTTTCATCTATAAACGTGTTATGTTCATGATTCTATAAATTTTTCATCTATAAACTTATTATGTTCATGATTCTATATCATATTTTGTACACTTATATTTAACTTTGGTTTTCTTCTAACATAAAAACACTAATTTATAGTAATACAAATAACACTAATAGTTCAAAATCCACTGTCTCTATGAGCTATATATTCAATAAATACTGCAGTCAGTAATAAAAATAAAAAGTACCTTTATAATGTGAAAATGGACTTGACTGTCTTTTTTAGAAAAATTATGAAAAAAAATTCATTCAGTTTTTTTTATTATTATTACACAAAAATACTGGCATGTCATATTTATTAAATTAAACAATTAACATCTGTACTTTGTTTTATAATGGACCTAAATTAGCATTTAATAGTTAATATACTAACCATTTTAATAAATACTTCCATAATTTTAACAAATGTTTTTCCAATGATCTTTATCAGAGTTATTTCTAGTTATTCATTTCACACTCACATAAAAAAAAATATAATAATCACATATTTAGGTTAACAATATTATATATATACAGTCAGCTTTGAATATGTACACATTCTGCTTTATTACGAAACATTCACTTACAACGAATGACAAACAGCTTTAATTGTAGTCTCCATACAACAGACAAAAATACAAATGTACTTTTAACATAAGAAAATGCTTAATCTAAAATATTTCATACTTCAACAAAATTCTCACTTAGACTTGGTTCGTAAAAGATGTGCATTTTAAAAATTAATTATCTTAAAAATCTGTTAGTGTTGTCAATAAACATTTGTATAACAGTAACTGTCATAATCAGAGTTAGTTATACCATATGAATAATAAATGATTTTTTTTTTCTTTTTGAATTTGAAGCATAACCAAACTCGCATAGAAGTACTACATGTAAACTTTATTAATACTATAAATGATAATGATTTATTGTAATTGTGTAATCAATGCACAATAAGAAAAGAATTGTGTAATAAAAGTTTTGTTATTTAGAGTGGTTTAAAGTCTGGTATTTTTATTTGACTAGATTTTTTTTAATGTAAAATTAGCACATCAAATAATACTAAAGAACAAAAAATAAGATGTTCTTGAATGAATATAAAAAAGTTTTTTAAAATATAGTAAAAATTGAATTTTATGGAAATAACATATTAAAAATGTTCATTTGTTAACATATGTGGACAAGCCATTATCCACCTCACTAATGTTTTGACAGACAATAATACTGTTGGAGCTATATAACACTGATAAGTTGAATAGTTCAACGTCCTATAGGACAATAGTCTTGCTTACCATATATTTCACTGTTAATCACAAATCTTAAATACATCTTATTATATGTAAAACTCAACACATTTAGAAAAATGTTCTATTTATTCATTCAGCATAATGTTGATTTATTATTTAACAGCATCAGGTATATGAACAATAATATAAAATGTAACTAATGGATGTTTCATTCATTAGTGAATTAAATATATATGGCCTAAAATATAATAACTTATCTTTTATAAAATTCTGTAAATACTGATAAAAAAATCCATTTATTTTACTTAGAAGGATCTAATTTACAAACTACTAAATGCAAGTTATTTAAATTTACCTCTTGTATAAACAGATAAAGAAAACAATTAACTCTCCACTACATATTTCTTCCTAAAAGTAGCATTACTCAACAAGAGCAGATAATCTTACTTGGCTGTTCAAATTGACCCTTGATGGTTTATAGTGTAACCCTAACCATACAATTAATAAAGAAGACACAACAATGTTTTTTGAAACATGTAGTATGTTCCCCCAAAACAAAATCACTTCATGATGCTTATAAATTGTTGTCTGTCAATTTGCTATTATATTAGCATAATACGGTTCCACACAAAAGCTAAACTTGTATTTCCAACTTACACAACATGATTAGTCTGTTTTCTTCTCACAAAGATTTTCTATTCCATACTCAATTATCTTTTCACAGTTACAAAATAAGTTATGAAAATATCCACAGAACATGAGAGAAGAGAGCTGCCTGACTTCCTGAAATAGATAAAACATACTACTGATAGAATAATACTTACTTGTGTATTGCTAACGAAGTCATATAATCATCTAACACAAAAAATAGAATGGTACAACAATTAATCTTCATTAACTTTATATATGACACAAGAAACCTTGCACAGCTGGGTTCTACTGGTGCAATGTGGTAGAAATCTTCAGAACTATTGTCTGATGTTTTTGTTGATCTTTTGGGTTGGCTCTTCACTGAACAGTGGATTCTGAACTTCCATTTCTCCTGTCTGAAAGTCATAACATGTTTTATCAGTTATGTTAGTTTGTTGTACTTTCTACCCTACAAACAAAAGTTCAGAATATCTGGTTTACAACATCCAGCAGGGCACAACCATGAGTAAGCGATTGTTAAGAGCACTTATTAATCAGGAGTAAAAAATATCAGAGTAGCAAACACAATAATATAAAATACACAGAAAACAGTGTTTATGAAATTTACTTATCTACGAGATGAGAGAGACCAGCACTATAAAATACAATGTCATTTTCATTAAACAACATGAAAATGAAAATTTGCTTGTGTAATTGATGTTAGGTTTTCAATATAAAATATGTAATACTGGTTACAGTTTTCCAAATGATGTCAATAAAAGCTGAAAACATATGATAAAGACCTATACAAGATTCTGCACTGGCCATTTTGCATACTTAAAGTACAAACATTTATATATAATGCTTAAAGAGAATATATTTAATGTAACTTTAAACCATAGCATCATACAAAACCTTCTCAACAGCCTCAAAACTATATATATATATACATATATATATATATATATATACACACACACACACACACTACACTATATATATATATATATATATATACACACAC